CCTATGGGAAACTTGAATAAGCCTGGGCTCCACCCCAGACCTATGAAATAAGGATCTCTGGGGGTGAGACCTGGACATAAAGTGTTTCAAAAGTTCCTCCGGTGATTTTGAAAAACAGTCATGTTTGAAAACGACTGTTCTATAGCAGAAGTTTGCTTTTTGCCCAGCATTTACCGTCTATACAGCTCACCTGCTTTTCATTCTTTCTCCACCATCACTGGTCCTCAAGAGGACCCCGACCTCTTTCTTTCTTTTATTATTATACAGTAGCAACACCAGGGCTCACTACATGCCAGATGCTACTCTAAGTCCTTTAGATACTATAACTCATTAATGTCGACTTCATGACATTGAGGAACAGAGAGCGTGACTGACTTGCCCCAACTCTCACAGCTAGTAAGCAGTAGGGCTGGTACCTCAGGGCATGCTCATAACCATTGCACTTTATTGCTTCTCATAGGAGGCCGTGCTCATTTTAGGAAGATGCAAAAGATTTATACATGGTTGAGGGAATCAAAAAAGAACCCTTCAAGAATATTGTATGCTGAAAACAATAATAAAGTAATTATTATAAACACTTCTGAGTGTAAACCACTGTCTTAGACTGTATTTTGCTTGAACAAAGATAGAAGGTTAATTTATTAAAACATGTTTTCTCCTCCTTGATGTATTTACTGCTGTGTCCCTAGTATCTCTTGCAAGTAGTAGGTGCTTCATAAATAATCAATAAATACTTGTTGAAAATATGCTGTCAAGGAACAGATGAATGAATGAATTAAAGGTATTTCTCTCCTCTATTCCCAGAGCTAACCACGTGTTCTCAGTCAAGGCTTCCTGGCCAATCCAGGAAGCTAAGGAGAGTTTACAGGAGTTTGAAAGGAAACTGTTTTTTGTCCTGTGCCCAGAGTGGCAGAGGTTAGTGCTAGCAAAGCCCTGGTTTTAGGGTGGGAAATGGCAGCAGGATGTCCTGGTGGGGTGTCTAGTAAAGAGCAAGGCCTGTGAGCAGCCCAGGGGTGAGGCCTCTAGAGCAACACCTGTGGTGAAAAGAGGGAGAGTGATGAGGGCATACCGAGGCCTGTCTAGGCATCAGTGCCTTGCTCTCAGATGGACCAGGTTCAATGGCTATCATAATAAGCATTTTCCCTTACTCTCTGGGCCCTGTGGAAGATACTACCTGCTCCTAAACCAGACATTTGAAGCAGGGAGGAAACAGTATCCAAAAACATAAGTAAAATTAACTATCACAGGTTCTGGGGATTAGGTCGTGGACATATCTTCTTGTGGGCCATTGATCAGCCCATTATAACCCTCATCTGACACTCTTGGGTCACAATATATTTGATTAACAAATATAAAGGTGCAGATGGTTTACAACCTTTTAAAATTGGTAAGTTGTTACGATATTATAGCTCTTAGAGAAGTTAACCCCAAAGGTGATATGATCTTATTGTCTTGTGGAATGTTAACCAATCTTATATCTATCTTGGCAAACTTATTTTGGCATTTCTTTTCTACCTGGCTATATAAGTCTCTGTTCCTTAATCCTTTGCTTTTGGAATGTACTCTTTTGTCTTCCTGTTGGTTCCCTCATTAATGAAATAAACAAACAAGTAAATTTTAAAATGTGGATACATGGTAAGAAATAAACTTCGTGCATTTATATACTAATGTCATGAGTCATGAATGGCATTTGGGAGAAGAAATAGAAAGCATTAGTATTTTTGTTCCAAGCAAACTCCTTTTATTAGAGGCACTTTTCACCAGTGGAATATGATCTCTTTTTGTGAAGCCCGATCTAACAGGACTCCATTACTGTCACCAGCTTAACCTTCATTAAAGTTTTATGACCCAAGTGGATTAAGAATCAGAGAATACAAAGGGCACCATAGAGCAAAATGAAGAGGAAAATCTCTCAGGATTCTCGACTTATAGTTCATATTCTCTTTACCACTTAAAACAGTAAGTATAAATAAAATGTTACTATGCAAATGAAATTTGCTAGTACAATTACTATTTAGGTAAGTATTATTTTCCACATTGTAAGAAAGGCCTTAGATTACTACTAAACAAAGGTTATGTACCTCACATTTTAAAGTCATTAATTTTTCTCAAAGAAGCATAAGATAAACACTATAAAATATAGGTAAATACTGAATGTAAACGGAGGCAGTTTTTAAGGTGAGAATAGTAGGCAGCTAAAGATTCTGAAACTTTGGCAACTCAGCAGTATGCTCAGACTTGCTGGTTTAGGACAGGATGAAATGAAATTCAGATTTTAACACATAGTAAAGTTCAGTATTCTTTTCCACCAGGGCTTTTTTTCTTTTTTCTTTTTTTTTTATATCTAATTTCATTATAGGCAACCCTATGATATGGGAAAACACATATAAGAAATGCTTGCAAACTGCAGATATTACTTAGTATGTAACTAGAGGGATGGTAAACAAGACTATTAACACTCACAAGTTTGAGTCGTAGCTGTTTTGGCGGCCCAATAGTTATGTCAGTCGTTCTCAAGCTTTAGTGGGCATCAGGATCACCCGGAGGTCCAGTTCAAACACAGATCACAAGGCCCCACCCCTAGGGTTTCTGATCCAGGAGATGGGCAGTAGGGACTCAGAAGCTGCATTTCTAACACATTCCTGGGTGATGCTGATCTGGCTCGTCTGGGGACCACGCTCCAAGAACTTTTGCTCTAGCTACTGATATTAGGACATGGAGGTGGGACGTTGGCATTCACAAATATACTATGATGTTGGCAGTCCTTCCTTTTCTGCATGATTTTGAAAAATGTTCCACAGTTATAGCCACCTACTGGAAGTGCCTTGGCTTTAAGAACAGATTTTAATTGGTTTAAGCTAATTGGATTTTAGGGTATTAGACTCTCCAAAGAAGAAAGCATTTAGTTTCTTCAACTGTTGATTATTCCAAATGATAGGTATTAGGTGATGAAAAAGAAAAAAAAAATTAATAACTCTTTAAAGAGAATATTATATTTTACTCTATTCAAAAGTATGATTATGATCAAGACTGTGATTTAAAAATGACTATTTGTGGCAGTGGTTGTCTTAGCATAACTTTGTTGGCTTACCTCAATGCCAGTCATTTATAGCTTCTCATAAATTGCCTTTAAATAATTGCCAGAGATCTCCCACCAAAGCACATTTTTAAAAAGCTCAGTATCTTTTCAAAAGAAATTGAAGGGGAAAAGGGATCTGCTTAATTGTAGAAAAGAAAAATATAACAACTAGCAGACCTTGAGCAACAATATAACATAGTCATTAAAAGCATAGTCTCTGGAGTCAAAATGCCTGGGGCCAAATCCTGGTTTACCATTTATCACGAACTGGTCTTCTTGGACAAATTACTTAATCTCTATAACCCTCAATAATCTCATCTTCAAAGTGTATATTCACTTATAGAATCCATATAATAATTGAGTATAATAATTCATGTAAATATACACACAAAATGCCCAGAACATAGTAAGTATTCAATAAAACTTATATTTTGTTATTATTTTTCTAGTTAGCCCTTATCAGGTATGATTTTAGAAATTCATTTAAAAATATCTGTGTTTAGAGCTTTTTTGTTCAGTGGTTAATGAAGACTAGTTGAATTTTTACACTAGAACAGATAATTTAAACACTTGCCTCATTAAGATGCTCAGATTTTTTCCCCTCAATCAGTCAACAGACATT